ATCCCTCCGTATAATCCCGCTGAGGCGAGTCGTCAGCCTGATTTATCTCTTCATAAAATTCTGATTCTGCCCCCGAGTGGCCGGCTGGTTGGTACGATCGGCTGTGTGTTGCAAAGACAGATGGCTGTGCCCCATGCTGTCTCTTGACCGGGGAATTCTTCTTAGCCAGAGCTGATACTCAAGTGCGTGCGATCTTCACTCCAACTAGCAGCTTTTGATATTTACTTACTGTGTCTGTTTCTTAGAAAACTATTAGAATCTTAGATTAATGTGACTAATACCAAGTGCTAGATCGTTACAACAATAACAATAGGTGTTGACTCTAGCACAAACAAGAAAATAGTGAGATTCCCGCCATTTGGGAACAACTAATTGTGTGATTGACAGTAAAGACGACGTCTGTTGAAAATCTGAAACTTTTAGTTAGTGTGACTGAAGCAAAAATACAGCATTTATGGCAAAGATGTAATAGAGGTAGAGGATTCACAAGAATTATATGATTTTAAAACCTCACATACCACTTTACAAAAATGCAGGAATATATCACAAAATCAATAGCAAATTGTGTTGTGGATAAGCTTGTGCAGATCAAGTTAGGGATCAAGTCTTTTGGCAGAAGACAATTTGATAATAACATTTCTTATCAATTTTAATTAATAAAATATTTGAATTTGATATGAGAGATAAAATAGAAAGACATTTCAATAACTGAAGATATGCATGAGATCACATGGCACATGCTGTTTAGCCGATGACAGTGACTGGTACAGTCAGTCGACGAGAAAGTCATATTTTGAGTGTTTGTTTCCCTGTCCTTCATGGACAGAAATACGCCTATTTTCAGTAGTCAACTTTCTATCCCTAAAGATCCGGGTTAGAATTGCCCTTTATTACAACCCATGCTGGTCGCAAGAGGCTACTATTATTGAAACAGATCGGTGAGTCAGGCTCACCATATCCATGCTCGTGGGTTTCACTAAAGTGGTGAGACCTGCACCACTTCAGAGTTTCCTGCCACATTACACCTGTGAAGATCCAGGTAAGCATAGGTCTTCAGCAACCCATGCTTTATAGTTGTCATTTTGGTAGAGCGAGAACAACTGACGTCATCTATTGTCATGTGACTTTTCACACAAGAAACTACTTTCATAGAGTCATGTCTTAACTGTGAAAGTAATGGAGTACACACAGTTAGATTGGAATATATATCATGCATGACAAATGAGAAGGAAAATCACTACACCAACTGTATTAAGTGTGTAATTATTGTCACATGTTTATTCCCAAACTGAAACATGGTTTACCCATAAATTGGTAGGTACAGAACTTAATGGTGAAATCAGTAAATAACCACACAAGATCAATGAACAATCAACAAATTATAGTGAAATGTAGAGAATTTGGTTTGCAATCATGAAAGGCGATACATAGTGTTAAACATGTGGCAGCAGCAATAAATAGTGAGTGAGTGAGTGTTGTTTTACGCTGCTTTTAGCAATATTCCAGCAATATCACAGCGGGGGACACAAGAAATGGGCTTCACACATTGTACCAATGTCGGGAATCGAACCCGGGTCTTCGGCGTGACAAGCAAACGCTTTAACCACTAGGCTACCCAACCGCCTGCTTGATGCAGGAGGAAAGCCCAAAGGGATACAGGTGCAGTGTTCTGCTGAGGCAGCGTCTTGTTGGGTTCGAGTTTACATATTTTTGCAAATATAGTAATCATAGTCCAAAGATGTCTCTGCTTCAAAATTGCAAAATCGCTGACCACAAACTATGTTGGCGATACACAGAAAAATTTGCATGGCTCTCCAGACAGAGACCATGGTGACAAATTGAGGAAAGGTAGAAATTTTCAGTGATGGCCATGGAACTGCAAACCATGGACTTTTAAGTTTAATATGATATCTCAGAGTGTGTCTCCATTAGTTTTGAAAATGACCCCATGATTTTATGCTGAAGGGGTCCCCACCCCTCCCCACCCCACCCCACCCCACCCCACCCTGTCTCCACTGATGCAGTTTCTTTGTAGAGCACTGCAGGTCTTAGATGTTTACCACTTTGGTGAAACCCACAAGCTCAGATATCTTGCTGTCAAAACTAGTGTCATCATTGAGGCGAACCGGGATTCTGGTGTGCCCAAGGGATGCAACTCTGCACTGCAATAGTGGCGCCTTAGACGACTGGGTCAACCAAGCCCCCTTTTCCTGAACTGAATTACCCAACTGACTTGACCTGAGAGTACACCTTCCATTCCTTGGAGAGTAATTGTACTGCCTGAAATTACTTGTGTCAGTTACCAAATCATCTGTCAGTGTTGCAGCCTGGTGTTGCAGCCTGATGTAACTGATCTATCTTCTATTCAAACAATTAAGTCTCAATCTCAGCATGCCCACACTGCTTGAAGTCGTCTGACAATGACAGCTGCCTCAACTACAATCCTGACAAACATTCTTTCCCTTGCAAACTCCACTTCATCTTCCTGAGGAAGTCCTGTTTCCACCCTTGCCGAAAAGGGCTGGAATTTCCAGGCTCGATCATAACGCCGCCAGTGGCTATAACGAGTTATGCCCTTTCTATGTCCCTCCAACTGACCAATCTGATTCCACCCCTTTTATCACTTGAATTTGCTTCAAACAAAATGGCAGCGCCCTGTCAAGACAATCTGATCGATAATCAAGATCTGTATTGTAATCACCCCTCTTCTTTGACTGCCAAACTCTGCCTGTATGCCGCAGTGGAATATTCATAAGCCTTCAAAAAGGTCCTTTTTTACTTCATCATTTACTGATGGAAACGAATAAGGGAACAGTAAAAACCACAGGGAAATAGGATTTACTGCCAGTCAGTTTGAAATAGCAACAATACAAATCAACACATGTCAGAATCAAATGTTGAGATCTGCTTGTGTGCATTGTTTTCAACGCGTATATGGTAGACAGGGCTGGGAACCAAATTAGCATATCATGTTGCAGTGTCCGAAGAATTAGTGTTCAGTTATTCATTTCCACCAGTATGTTTTGAACCAACATAAATGTGGAGTGTAGACTTGGCATCAAGGTTATAGCATCTAGCTAGAGTTTCTGATTTTTTCCAAACCCTGATGCTCCTCATTCAACAACAGAGCTACAGAAATGCTGCGTATTTGCGTAAAATACTCAAAAATATTCAAAACCCAATTTCTTTCAATCATCTTGCGAACAAAAACGTGTGCATTAAATGAAAAACTCCAATGCATAAAAACAGCACGCGTAAATACCCAATGAAGCCTTTGTATCATGCATACAACGGAGCTAACACAGTTATGAGCTAATCAAGCCTATATATACTGAACAACAAAAGTTCCTGTGACACTGAATAAGATTTAATGCAAAGTTATGTTTTTTACCAAATCTGAAACAATTTGGGTTTGCAACAGATAAAAGACTCCTGTAAGTGTTCAAATGGTTAATTTGCCATACTGACTTCAGAAAATGCGTGATTTAAAAAAATGCCAAAATGTCAATTTACAAATCAATAGCATGTGTGTCCACCTCTGGTTGCGATACAAGCAACACATCTTCGTCTCATGGAATGGACCAGGCGTCGCACAAAGTCCTGTGGGATATCTGTCCATATCTGCTGGAGCATGTTTCGAAGTTCCTGGAGTGTCTGTGGAACACGTGGTTGACGTCGAAGGTGCCGATCCATCTCATCCCACATGTGTTCGATTGGTGAGAGATCATGGGAGTGAGCCGGCCAGGGGATGACATTCACGTTGTTTTGATGAAGAGAATCCTGAACAAATCGAGCAATTTGAGGCCGGGCATTGTCATGTTGAAAGGTAATGCCTGGGCCATGACGATGCAAAAACGGTAGAACAATTTCATCAGTTGCCAACGTTGCCATAAACACCAAATGGTGTTTCTGTGGACGTTAAATTGTCTTGCAACATCACGTTGACTCAATCCTGCTTCAAGCATACCAATGGCTCGCAGACGCTCATTTTCCCCCAGTTAATGCCAGAAGTTGATGACTGTAAACATGCCTGTAACAAGCTCCTCACAGCAAAGCTCTCAATATACCTGGAGTGTTACAAGGGTGCCAAGTGCTGGGACAGAGTTTGGGATACACACAAGGTCAAGGTCAATGCAAAAATTCCTTCCCGCACCTTCAAAAACCTGCTGCCAGTTACAATCATAACTATTGCCAATTACAAAATTACTGCCACATGGTATGATTTATTCAGATTGTTTGACAAGTCACAGCATTTCACTAATGTGAGAACATGAACAGTTGCAATCTGGTCTTTTTGCCACCTGCTACCAAAACCGTTGAGTTTTCTAGCCAAGAATGACCATGTTAAAATGCACTGTTGGGGAGCCGAACATCTACCATGTTTGATATCTATGCTCCTGTCAAAACAAACTTACAACAGTGTACACTGAGTGATTTTATTTTTTCTTTGTTCTGTTTGAAAAAAATGTAACTAAACATGCTTATAGGATGAAGTTCCACGCCAAGGCATGATTGATACTGTTCCAATAATTGTATATGCTCAATGTCAACTACATGGTATTTTCTGCTTATTTTTTAACCACAGGCCAATGTAACTAATAGGCCTATTCTATACTAACAAACTCGTAGACGAGGCCGAAATCTGTGAGATTGTTAGAAGTCTACGAGTTTGTTAGCAGACAAGAGGCCTAATAGTCACAGGCTAAATGTGTAGTAACCAAACAGGTCCACATTTACTGGCCATGTGCTGATAGAAATTCCTTCCACGAAAAAGTCATATTTGCAATGGAGTTAATACATTTATAACCTTGTCTTATGAAGGAATAAAGAGATACTAAATTACATAGGAATTCGAAACAACTTGGTTACGAAACGATCTAGGCATCAATACAAACTACAAATATACAATCTGGGCAAACTAGATACGAAACTACTGGGTGCAATAGCCTACTGGTACCGGCCAAATATTGCAAACACTGAAACCTGATGTTTAGCCTTACTTTGTGGTAAAATAGGCTGAATCTTCGTCAGACGTTCTGCTATTGGTCTTATTTCATCCAGTGAATAAGTAAACGAACAAAATATGCGCGATATTTTGATTTGATCAGCCACCTGAAGGCAGATCATTGCTAAAACGGCACCTCTACAAAACGTCACCGAACGAAAACGGAACCTCGACCACAGCCAAAACGGCTCCTTTTTCGAGGCGAAAACCGTTTTACAAGCAATGAAATTAACTGATAGGTTCACATGTAAACACAAATAAATGTGAAATGCTAATCGCTTTAAACATGTTTACCATTAGAAATTAGCCTCTACTCCAATATATACGCCGAGTATCAAATTGAAACTGAATAAATTTATAGTCTTCAAAAAAAGAAACGGATATTTTTGGTCATAAAAGCAAAATAAGTGGACCAAGAGGTGCAAAATAAAGAGGTTTAATATGTTATAGTGTCAGTGACAAATTTCACGGATCAAAAGATCACAAGGACATGCAAACCATTAGTCGGGAAACACGGACGATTCGGAAAAACGCATCCAGTTCATTAACAAAAGGGCCATGGAGCTGCACCCACTGCACGTGCTGCAGCACTATGAACGGTATTAAAGTGCAGGATTTTTAAGTGCCTGGCATCTGCGTCAATCGAACAGTGATAGTTCAACACCACGCCAAGATTATCAGAAGTGCAAAGAAGCTACGCCATAGGCCGCTTAAAAATTGTAGGCAGGGGAATCCCGATCAGCTGTAGCCAGGGTTTTCAATGTAGCGCCCAGCACCATTACAAGGCTATGGGGTCGGATTCAACAGCATGGGTCAACACGTGATCGGCCAAGGTCGGGACGACCAAGAGTAACCGACTCAAAGCAAGATCGCTACATCCGACTGCGCCGCCTACGTGAAAAGACGACCACAGCCTACTCAACCGCATCCCAAATACCCGGACTGTGCAGAATCTCCGACCAGACCGTACAAAACCGTTAAATAGCAGCAGGTCTACAAGCAAGACGTCCTGTTCGACGCGTCATATTGAGCCGACAACATCGTCAACAACGACTGCATTGGTGTCGTCAACACAGGGTATGGCCCCATCTGCGATGGAGAGATGTCTGGTTCAGCGACGAATCAAGATTTCTCCTCCGTCGAGGGGATGGAAGAGTACGGGTCTACAGACGTCGAGGAGAACGTTACGCCGGAAACAGCGTACAGGAAGTGGACAGGTTTGGTGGGGGTAGCGTTATGATTTGGGCGGCTATCTCTCATCATGGCAGGACAGGTTTGGTCCATATCCAGGGCAACCTTAAGGTTCAACGATGCATCAACGAAATTCTTCTCTCCTACCACACGCCCTCCCAATTGCAGCCAACGGCAACGGTGTATTCAGCAGGACAACGCTCGACCGCATACAACACGGATCACAAGAGCCTGTCTACACAACAACAACGTTGATGTTCTCCCCTGGCCCTCCATATCCCCGGATTTGAACCCGATAGAGTACCTGTATGATGAATAAAACCCCAACACCAGACGTTGCAGCAGTTGGCTTTTGCGTTGCAGGCCGAGTGGGCTACTATTCCCCAGGATGTGATTCGCATACTCGTCTCTTCCATTGTCAGATGTCTCTCTACAACATTTTGCCTCAATACTTTATACCGTTCTTCGTATAAATGTATTTTCCTACCTCACAAAAACCTAGCTTTGCCTTTCTTTTTTGAAGAGTATACTAGTATATAGGCGTCATTCGTCAAAAAGTGGCAATTTTGATTATGACTGTTCTTTGCTTGAAACGGCAATTTAAAACTTTTCATTTCATGGACAGCGTTAACAAAAAGTACACACATTTTATATGAGTTCATTACAATAATATTCTGAATATAAATTGCAAGAGAATCACCAATCTAGATTATTCATAGGAACAGAACAACGCGGAGACTGTCAACAACTATACTAGCCACATAAAGAAACTGTGCACGGAGAAAATATATTCTGGATTGAAATACAACACAGCAAGAACAAAATGATGCAGACGCTGTAGCAGCTGAATTATCGGACCATAAGAAAATGTCAACGGGACCTGAACAACATCTGTTACGATGACGTCAGAAGATCAAAATGGAGTAGGGGGTCAAACGACAAAGTCACAAAGTCAATAACGGGTATGACCACCCTGTGCGTGAATCACAGCAGTGCATCGGCGACGCATGGAGTCCACCAAATGGGCCTGGAAGGCCTGGGGAATGGCCTGCCATATCCTCCTCAAATCCTGTGCCAAGTCACGGACGTTATCTGGAGGATGTGGAAGACGACGCAGACGGCGCTCCATTTCATCCCACACATGCTGTATTGGGGAGAGATCTGGAGAAATTGCAGGCCATGGCAGTAACATGACATTGTTATGGTGAAGGAAATCCATTGCGACCCTAGCCGTGTGAGGACGAGCGTTGTCCTGTTGAAATGTCAATCCCGGGCCATGACGTTGCAGGAAAGGCCTCAGAATCTGATCTCTGTAGCCAACACCGGTGAGATTGCCCCGAACAACCACCAAAGGGGTTCGGTGCCGTGCTGTTATCCCACCCCAAATCATCACAGAGCCACCTCCAAAACGATTCCTCTCCACAATACAGTTGCGTGCATAACGTTCTCCCAAACGCCGGTAGACACGTTGGCGCCCGTCACTGTGGGAAATGTTGAACCTCGATTCATCTGTAAAGACAACATTTCTCCACCATATTCGAGGTTGGCGAACATGATTTCGACACCATCTTAGACGGTTGACTCGATGACGGTGTGTCAGGATGGGACGTATGGCAGGGCGTCGTGGTCGAATCCCGTACTGACGTAAACGATTCCTAACAGTGTTGGGATGGATACGGCGCAGTCCAGGAATTGTCTGGGACGTCGTTACTGCCGTTTGGAACCTGTGTCGGAGATGTGTCACTCGAATCCATCTGTCCTGTCTTGGCGTCGTTACTCGGGGACGTCCTGAACGTGTGTGGTCGGCAACGTCATTTGTGTTCTAATAACGCCTCACCAATGCCGATATCGTGTTACGATGGCATTGGAAATGTGTTGCCACCTGTTGTTGCCTCATTCCCGCTCGGATCATTCCAATGGCTTCATGACGCTGTGCAGCTTTCAATCTTGGCATGATTTGCTTGTGATATGCTTGTGTCTGTGCCTGAGAAGTTTTGAATTTTTGAATGACCACAGATCATGCTTTCCAAAGTGACAGCGAATTTTGAGTTGCACATGCTGTGTACAGCTGCACAGGCTGCACGTGCAGTAACACATTGCACGTCCATAGGCCCCCATCAATGACGTCATATCGCATGGCACGTGCATGAGTGTTTGAATGTCTCCAATAATTGCTGTGTTCAAACCTATATATCATATATGGACGGTGTGCCCTTATATCTATATTTTCTCCGTGCACAGTTTCTTTATGTGGCTCGTATAGTTTGGCAGCCAAGTTCGGGGTGGAGAGATGTTAGTCTTGTGTAGTGTGTTGCTGTCAAATTAAAAACTTCACATTTTTAAAAGTAATCCAATACATGATATACAACGGACAAATGTATCAGAGAAGGTAATTTTTAATCATTAATGTCCAAAGAAGGATTTTAATTAACGGTGGTAACCATAATTTGTTCCAAGCACCTACGGTATTCGGTAATAACATCAACAGTTTAAATCCCAAGCACGAGAATCTGATGGCACACAAGTTCAGTAGCGTGTATGGCCACCATGTGCGTTGACAACTGCCACACAACGCCTCCGCATGGACCTTGTGATGCTTGTGAACACATGATTGGGAAGACGACGCCATTGTTGCTGCAAAATGGTGCCAAGATCTTGCAAATTCTGTGGTTGGTTCTGGAGAGTGCGCAGACTTCTGCCAATAGCATCCCAGACGTGTCAGCATGGTAGCATCAGCGGTGGTACCCGTTTGCTGTAGACGCGTCTGTAAATCATAAACAGTCCGTCGACTACAACCCGTCGTCCTTGCGACTTCAGCTACGGACGTTCCCGTCTGCAACATGCCGATGGCACGTTCACGTTGCACATTTGAAAGGCGTGGCATGACAAATGGCCGTAAAGACTTTTGTTTTCTTGTGTTTTTCTTTTTTTTGTTAATGACTGCTAACAAGAATGGCTGAAAACACGTGCGGTATTATGGCCACGTAACCAGTTGCACGTGAAAAACCACTTTTGCCAATATAGTGCTGTGCACATGATTTTGATCGATTCACCTGCACAAAAACGGGTGTTATCTGAAGCCAATACGTGGCCATTACTGTTTAAATACACAATAAGGGGCCACAATGATAACTGGTCAAAATGTTAAAATTTTAGGATTGTGAAGTTTTTAATTTGGTTCAGTATATATAAATGTACAAATAAAAAATAACTAAATTACTGTTATGTAGTAAAGCTGGTTGAGAAATAAGTTATTTCTGCGGTTTTTTTTGTCCCTATTTCTACAACTCGTGACCCTTACAAGAATAGAGTGGCATGTTGGTTTCCAAGGAACGTATATCCAGTCTGAAGTATGCTTAATTCATTTCGAGGTGTATAGTAGAAAAGACCGAAGGAAGTGCTCGTCAATTATGTGAAAACGTCATCATTCATCTGATAATAATATAAACAATCTTTTAACTTGACAGAGCAGCATTTCGTAAAACCGCCGTAGTTAGTGCAACTAAATACATATTATGATACAGTTATGTTTCTGTCACGTAAAATTGTTTACATCAACTGATATGACATCACATCAACTAGAATATTTGTTTATATCTGACATGGTCGCCGGTTTGTTTAAAATGAACATTGTTCTCAACTAGTAATTACATTCTATTTCCTTACACATGACTAATTGAACTATTAATACTGATACATTACGTAATATGTTCCAAATTCGGCATATATTCATGAATACACTGAAGTTTTCCACCCGCACTAAGGTCATTAAGAAAGGAAAAGCTCTCTGTGAAGATCCGGGTTAGAACAGGTCTTCAGCAACCCATGCCTGTGGTAAGAGGCGACAAACGGGATCGAGTGGTCAGGCTCGCTGACTTGGTTGGTGCATGTCATCATATCCCAATTGCGTAGATCGATGCTTATGAAGTAGTATAGGTAATAGGGGTTCTGGCTCACTTCCACT